GAAAGTCTGGGAGACTTTTTATCTCCAATCAACCACCAAAAATGTAGGAGTAGAGACAGCTGTGGCCCAAAGTGGTAGAGCTCTACCCTTGACCAAAAAAAAAAAAAACAGCTTAGAGACAGTGTTAGGCCTTGAGTTCAACACCCTGCAACTGCTAAAAAAAAAAAAAAAAGCAAAGCCATATATAATAAAGGATTCATGGCAGAGATGTAATATTATGTAATTGTAGGAACTAGGTAAACAGTGTCTGGGTCACTTAAAATTGTTTTTGCACAAAGAAATGATAAATATTTGAGACAGTAGATATGATAAATACTCTAATGATTTACCATTATTCCATATACACATGTACTCAAATATTACTTTCCTCATGTGTATACAATCATGTGTTAATTAAATCTCTTTAAGAGAAAATGATGTTTTATAATATATTAATATGTTAATATAATATAGTGTTGTATAATAATATATAATATAATATAATACATTAATAGTGTATAATAACCATCATTTCATGGATAGGGAAAATGAGGCTTAGAGAAAGGAAAAAAAGTTGTTCATGTCACTAAGCTTAATAGAATTTGGTTCATTCATTCAACAAATATTTATTGACTACTGGATATGCCAGGAAGACCCTTGGTGAGTTAGGGATGCAGTGGAGATTAAAGCATACAGGCTCTGCCTTCCTGAAGCTTTCAGTATAGTGGGAAAAAGACAGTGGTAATCAGGATTGTAATAACTATGGTGGGAAAAAATTAAAGTACTTAGGAAACCACAGAGGAGAAAGCAAGAGAGTTAACAAGAAACAAACAGCAAGACAGAACAGCTGAAATGACACAACAGCTGAGGTTAGACAGTGTCTTGGCTCTTAACTCAGGCAGCAGTTTCATGACCTAAATGATATTTCTAATTCCAGGGAGAAGGAAAGAAGGCAACACCCATGGCCTTGACCCTGATCTCAACATTCCTTTGTACTTGGCTGGTTTTATTTTCATGTTCCTCAGGAAGACTGAAGGCCCAGCAAGAGGAACACTTCAGTAAGTTCACGGACAACTGTCAGGTTAAATCTATAAATTGGAACAAACAAATATGAGAAAAACAAGCATGAGAAAAACTTAGTTTTCTTCTACCTTGCCAAGGGCAAGCAGGCTAAAGAATGTTTCCAGAGATTAGTTGAGCGCTTCCTGAGGAAATTGAGGTTTACAATAAAACATAGAAACGATGTCCCATTTTGGTTTACTACTTTAACATGTCATCATATCTAACTTAGATATGTGCTAGAACCTAATGAAAACTTCAGGCTGCTATGTTTTGGGAAAGAACAGATATGATATATTTATATATTAATATAAATATAATCATATGTTACATATTACATAATATATAATTATATATTATATAAACTGCATTTGATATATTTTTGCATAGTATATTTTATATATTATATAATGTATATATCCATATATTAATTGTGAATCTTGAAGTAAACTTATAGGTACTAGCCCCTCATTTTAGCTATAATTAGAATATGCTTCTTCCTTTCTCACCATGTTCCATCTCACAAGTGTTCTATGAATAGCAGGAATGTATACTCATTTGAAAGGGTCTGTACTGGTTCGTGTTGCCTTGAGAGGAGAGAACACTGAAAGCTTGTTCTGTGAACAGAGGAATTATATTTCCTCAGCTGTTCCCACTGTTGCCACAACACAGCATTGCTAGGAACTGAGCAGGTCAGACCCATCCCTGACGCCACTGAGTGAGGCTTACACTGGCAGGGCACAAACCCCTTGAGGTGTCAGGGGCAGCCTTGGAAGGAATGGCAAGGCCACATAACCACAAGCTGTAGCATGAAAGACTGCCAAATTTCCATCTGAATGAAAGAGAAACCAGAACACTCTGGTGGAGACGCTGTGGGCAGGTTGAAAGAATGTATAAGTGCAAATGGATATGATGTCCCTCTTATGAAGGCCAAGAATATGATGCTTGCCCATGCTCTTCTATAGTTTTTTATAGATTTAATAGATAAAGCAGAGCTTCCTAAACCATGGGCTTTGTCCTTGGAGTGTTGCCAATGGATTATAATGGGAGCAAGATGTACTGATCCTCTTACAGTTTGGGACACACAGGGTTTAAGGGAGCCAGGATCTACATACCAGTTACTACCAGCTGCTTGTTGAGCTTTATTTAGAGGACAGATCGTGTGGAACACAATCTGAAATTTTGCCTTCTATTCTCCACAGTCAGCCATACTGAGGACATTCCTGGCCCCCACTGCCTTACTGTTCATGCTGAGTATATGCAACCAAGTGATCAACTAGCAGAATACCCATTTCAGGGTAGAGGGGGAAGTGAGGAGAGAAACTGGATACCAATCTCAAATCCATATGTTGGATTACTGTGCTTGCTGTGAAAGTTCAGTTGGATTCGGTATCGATTTATATCATTGCCAGGTATTTCTTCATAGTAGCTATCAATGAAAGAAAATGAGAAATTAGTAATTATTTATTTATTGTTAGTATGTGTAGTGAGGATGCTGCGACTCAAATCCAGTTCTTTGAGCACATTTATGTAAATACTATACCACCGACACTCATTCCTCAGCCAGTGTGTTTAACCATAATTTCATGGTAAGGAGGTGGCGTAGTGATAGAGCATTAGCTTAGCATGTGCAAGGCCTGAGTTCTATCCCCACCACTACAAAAAAACAAAGAAAGAAACATATAAACATATAAATACAATTTATACCGTGGTAAATTTTGAAATGATTAGTAAACATTAAAAAAAATGTGTTCAGCTGGGCGCCAGTGGCTCACACCTGTAATCCTAGCTACTCAGGAGGCTGAGATCTGAGGATCACAGTTCAAAGCCAGCCCAGGCAGGAAAGTCCATGAGACTCTTATCTCCAATTAACCACCAGAAAACCGGAAGTGGCACTTTGCTCAAGTGGTAGAGCACTTGCGTTAAGCAAAAGAGCTCAGAGACAGCAACCAGGCCCAGAGATCAAGCCCCATGACCAACACATACAAAAAAAATCTTTTCATCGTGTACTTGTGACAACCAAAATTTTCACCAGTGGTAACAAGGAAGGATTAAAAGTCATCATTACAGTCTCGATAGGGAATTGTATGCAGTCATTTCAAACACAATACCTAAAAGGCAATATTAGTTAGGTTCCAGTGGTTCACACCTGTAATCTTGAGACTGAGATCTGAGGATTATGGTTCAAAGTCATCCTGGGCAAGAAAGTCTGTGAGACTTTTATTGCCAATTAACTACCAAAAAGCCAGAAATGGAGCTGTGGTTCAAATGATAGAGCACTAGCCTTGAAAGGAAAAGCTAAGGGAAAATGCCTAAACCCTGGGTTCAAGCTCTAGGATTGGTGTGCATGCACAGGTGTCTGTGTGTGTGCGTGTGCATGCACACATAACACATAGACACACATTAATACTGAAGGAATCAGTAGGCTAGTGGTATTCTTTAGTCATAGAACACCCAGAATACCCTGAGTTCAAAGCCCAGTACCAAAAGAAAACTTTTCTTTTGATTACATTGCAGGAAATTTACTGAAAAAAAATTTGTATTATATTTATATAGTCAGCAGATATTTCCTAAATGTTGAGGACTCTTAATAGCTTCTAAGTTGATGCTGTGTCTATAGTGATCCTTAGGTACTGGGAATTGCTTTATCCAGCCTGTGCAATGTGACTGGCTCCCTGATCCTTCATTGCTTGAGCATCTATTTTTGCTTTGAATTCTCAGCTTGCCAACATCTAAGTCCCTCCCTCTCCATAGCCACTTCTCAAGGGTATTTCATGATTGTTACTTGTTTTCTAAGCCCCAAAAGTGTGGCTCAGATTTTTATTTCTGCCTGGTTTCAGGCTACTTACAAGAACCTAATGTAGACAGCTCACTCTAGCAGCTCCTGCAATCTGAGCTTCCCGTCAGCAGAGGAGATGGCCTATATTCTAAAATGTCCTTTAGGCCAACCACTGATCTTTTTTTGTTGTCTCTCTCATTTTACTGGGAACCTTCAGCTTGCCAGTCATGATGCAATATTTTAATTGTCCAATTTTCATTTATATAATCAATATTTTTATGATTGTTAACCTTGGGTAATTTTCTCCAAATGATTAGTCTTATGATAATATCTATCAATCAAGCTAAGCATAGATAAATGTATGTCAGTCGATGTTTTGTTTTTAAATGACAAAGACTTCTTTGCATTTTTCTTTTTTTTCTGTGGGAAAGTAATAAATTAAGGCATTTTTATGCATAAGTCACTTAGTAATTACTTATTGAAAATCATTAACACTTTCCACTATTTTGCTTCTGTCAGGAAGATGCTATGGGTATTCTTGAAGTAAACAAATGGAAAAATACAATAAGCAATTTGAATTGTTGATTATAAATCCTTCAATTTGGAGTACATTTCCTTGATCTTAGAGCCTTAAATGAAAATTTCTCTGCTCAACATTCCTTTGCATCTATTATACTGACTCATTTCATATAAAGAACTTTATTGTATGAAAGACCAACACAAAGAAGTGGTTTGAGTCCTGAAAAGAGGATAGCATTCCTTCTACTTCATTCCATGCCCTTTCCAACACTTTTCTCAGTAATTCCATCACTTTATAAGATGTCTATTAGAACCGATAAGGACAATTATTTAAAACAAAGTGTCTAGGGACTCAAACTGCATCAGGCTTCTAGGCCTGAGGGTCAGGCATCTCATATTACAAACCTAGTAGATATGTCAACATGCAAACCCAGATTTCCTCCATAGAAAAAGTTTAAAAAGTTCATGGAACAGGAAGGGTAGATTAGAATCACTTAAAGATTCTGACATAGATCAGAAATTAGAGCTACAAAGGAGGAATGGAAAGTGGAAATAGAAAATACTTTTATTGAATATTGTACTGAAGTCCAAGGAGCAACCTTTATTTCCCCCATACTTCCTGTCATCTGCCATCTTGAGTGGCCACCCTTGGTTCAGTACCGTTTTAGAAACATTTTCTGTCAATGACAGACTTTCCAAACTCCTTGAACTCCGAAGTGGTGACCCATCTCTGCTTGAACATGCTCATACATGTTATGACCGATGCACCAATCCACGTAGAGAAACTTCTGTCAGGTGAAGCGGTGATTCTGATGGTTTGTTGTGGGGAAGTCGTCGATTTCAGTTCGTTCATGAGCCTTTCGCCGAGGCCAGGGAATAGTGTGTTGCCTCCTGACAGCACAATGTCAGCAAAGAGGTTGTTTTGGATGTCTACATCACACTTCTCAATGCTGCTACACACCATTTTGGTGATTCCTGGCTCCTGAATGCCTAGCAGTTCAGGTGTAAAAACTGCTTCAGGCAAGTGGCACAGATGATTATCCATGAGGACGACATGCCCGTCTGGCAATCTGTAGTATCTTTCAACTGCCGGCTGACTGTTGGCTTCTTCAGCCTCCATGGCAACGAAGCACATCTTCTCTTTCATCTCATCAATATAGGCCTTGTTGAATATAGACGAAAACATATAGCGTTTCAGAAAAAGGAGTTGGATGAGGCGTGTCGTTATATCTTTCCCTGCCAAAGAGAGCTTGGCTACAGCATGAGGCATGGGGTAACCCTCATAGATAGGGACGGTGCAGGTGACCCCATCTCCACTCTCCACCACCAGGCCTGTGACACTGGCAGAAGCATAAAGTGCCCCCACCGCATGGTTGAAGAGGTACATGGCAGGAACATTGTATTTCTCAAACATGATTTCAGCAGTTTTCTCCCGAATCTTCTTTGGGTTCAAGGCGTGCTCAGTTAACAGTACTGGTTGTCTGTTAGGTTTGACTTCAAGCTCTCGTTTGAAAAGATGGTCCCAAAGCTTTTCCATGTCGTCCCATCTCTTTACCACTCCACGCTCAATGGGATACTGTAGACACAAGCTGTTATATCGCTTCTGGGCTTCTTCGCCTACGAAGAAGATCTTCTGCTTGATTTTTGCTAGTTGCGCCAAAGGTACTTTTAATTTAGGGGAGCCCACAACGGAATCTATGACAGAACGAGGAACAACATCCCCAGAAAAGCCAGCTTTGCACAGTCCTGAGCCATTATCGAATATTACAGCGGGAACATCCAACATATGGGAATCAGACATAGATGCCCATGATCTGCAATTCACCAAGATGAAGAAAGAATACCAGGTTCAATACCTGGGAGTCTGGGTACTTCTTGTAGGTTAAGAGACAGCGAGTTCAAAGTTCTCTGTTTGTCACCCAGGTGAAGCTAACAGGCACTCTCCATTTTGACAGAGTGCCTCTAGCTTCCCTGGAAATGTGTCTCCTTTCTGGTGGCCCAGAGCCAATTGAATCAAGGGTGTGTACACAGAGATAGTTGCCAGGTATGTAACAATGTAGCCATGGCAATAGTTGCCCTCAATGATACTCAGAGGGGGTGGGGCTTGTGAGCCATCAAAACTCACTCTGTGGTGAGAAGGAAAGCAGAGGAAGACAAACTATGCCTACTACAATTTTAAGTTGCCTGAAAACCCCAAACAGGCTGAATTTCACAGCAAATTCAGTCTACTGTGTTACATTAAATGATTTGTTTTACACATAGATTCAGTGAATATATATATATATATATATATATACATATACACACAATATATACTGAATGTCTATGTATGTGTGTGTATACACTGAATATATATCCAATGTATATATTCTCTCTTTTCCTCTCCCCTGCCCCTATATAATATATGTGATCAGGAAAAGGGAATACTTCTCTACTTGGGGAATTAAAAATAACCATAATGCCACAACTGAGAAAGGAGTTATGAGAAATAAAAATTCAACTGTATCTCTGAGGTACATAGAGAATTAACTATCTCAACCTGAGTACAGATATGTAAATACATAGGTGATGGAGGAGTGGTATGTGGTAACAGCTTTGTTACCTACCTACCATAACACTGAGTACTCTTCGAACCTAAACAGTGGCCTGGGACTTATCCCAGAGAACTGCTGTCTTTTCTTGTTGAGCTGCTATCTGTGAGAAGTAAAAAATACACTTCTGTTCACTAGAAGTATGAACTAATGGATATACCTAATACACCTAGAACAGTCCTTTTGTTTCCATTTAAAGTTCTTTTCCTTTTTATTTTCTTTCTTTCTTTCCTTCCTTCCTGCCTTCCTGCCTGCCTGCCTGCCTTCCTTCCTCCCTTCCTTCCTTCCTTTTTCCTTCTTTCTTTCTTTGCCAATTCTTAGGCTTGAACTCAAGACTAGTGCATTCCCACTAGAGTCATAGCTCCACGTCTGGCTTTTTGGTGGTTAATTGGAGATAAGAATCCCATGGACTTTCCTGCCATGGCTTTGAATCATGATCTCCAGATCTTAGCCTTGAAAGTAGCTAGGATTACAACTGTCAGCCTCCAGTGTCTGGCCATTTTCCTTTTATTAGCAGTACATAAGATAACTTTCATATAATATATACTCCATCTGTTTTTTAATCTACTCATTTTTGTGGTTTTGCCAAATTTGGATATAAATTCTCATGATAAAGTGAATGTTAAGAATATTTTTCTCTCATGAACTATCACAGGACTCTTTCGTTTTTACCACTGATTATACAATTCTTCTTATCCTTTAAGCACTAGATAGATATTTTGTTTCTGCAAACGTTACCTTTTCTTTTTTATCTACATGAAGTGATATGATAGGCAGCCTTTTATCTCTGGCATCAGTCACTCTGCTAAATGCCTTCAAGCTCTAACTTTTGTTTGGCTATAATACATTATGATTATTGTTATACATAGAGATAGATAAATAGATAGATTGAGATAGATAGTTGATAGATATTTAGTATTTTCAGCTCTGGTTTACTATTGTTATACATAGAGATAGATAGATAGATAGATAGATAGATAGATAGATAGATAGATAGATAGATAGATAGATAGAGATAGATAGTTGATAGATATTTAGTATTTTCAGCTCTGGTTTACTATAAAATATGCTCCTAGAAACAATCAAGTATATGTTTTATGTGGACTTATGCTTTCATTTCTCTTTATCAGGTACAGATATTAAGCATCCATGGGGTAGTGGAACAGGAGGTACATATTTTAGAGCATTGTGAAATATTACTAAAGCATTTTTTTAGCCAGTCCTGGGGCTTGAACTCTGGGCCTGGGTGCTGTCCCTGGGCTTCTTTTGCTGGAGTCTAGCACTCTACCACTTTGAGCCACAGCACAACTTTCTGGTTTTTCTGTGATTAATTGGAAATAAGAGTCTCTCAGAATTTCCTACCTGGGATGACTTTGAAACACTCTCCTCAGATCTCAGCCTCCTGAGTAGCTAGCATACAGGTGTGAGCCACCAGCACCTGACTCTAGCACTTTTGATGCTAATTATGAGCTTTTATTAAAATCACTTCTTTAGGGCTGGGAAGGTGGCTCAGTGGTAGAGCACTGGCCTTGCATGCCTGAGGCCCTGGGTTTGATTCCTCAGCACCACATAAGAAAAAAGCCGGAAGTGGCGCTGTGGCTCAAATGGTAGAGCGCTAGCCTTGAGCTGAAGAGCTGAGGGACAGCGCCCAGGCCCAGAGTTCAGGCCCCACGACTGGACCAAAAAAATATATATATAAAATCACTCCTTTACAATTTTTTTTTGTTTACATGTGCTTAGATGTTTGGGCCTCAGGCAATTTGACTCCATAATTAACAACTCTAAGACTTTTTATTGGGACCTTACCAGTCCTGTCTGGAAGACTATCACTCACACAGCCATTTGAGATGCCTTCATGCCAGCATCAGCTATTTCAGGAACCTACATACTGAGGTAGATCTGTTTGCTGAAGGTATTATCCCACCAGATAGCTTGCACAGGGACTTTTTGGCATTATATATCTCAGTGAACACTAAGTGATCCTGAATCTATTTCTATTCAGGTCAGTTAGTGGTGGAGCACTTCCTGTATTGGCCCAAACAAAGACTGGCAATTGGTGTAAAACACAGAACTTCAGTTGCATAAGGAACTATTGTGATTGGTGCAAACCTGGTCCCTCATTTGAATAAAGGTCTGCTGCAGTTATTGCACACATTCTAGTCCCCCCTTCCTTTTCTAGTTATATAAGCAATCTGCTCAAGTTATTTTTTTGAGCTGCTGGGAGCCTCTCTCTTGTGCTGTCCCTTTGGTATTAAAACATTAGCTCCCAGTAAACTCATTTTTCTTACTATTGCTAAGATAATATAAACAAAATGAAGAGAAGATGCAATGGTAGTGAGAGAAACAGGTAGAAAAGAACTGTAATATTTAGCACCCCAACATTTATCCCAAAGCCTAAACCTCTGTTTCTTTCATACCTGTCAGGGGTTTCAGTCCAAAATCTGAAACTTACCTCGTGTTGCCACCCTAGTCGTCTGTGGCCTCAGGCCTGAACCTGAGTTGTGCCTGCTGTCCTAGCTGTCTAAGGCCCTGGGAAGCTGTTGCTGCCCACTGTCACACACTCTGTCACCTGCAAATACTCACCAGGATAAGGACTAACTGGAGGAGCTTTTTCTCACATACTCATGATTTCTGTATGGGTAGAGCAGGTTCCAAGCCCACTATTTTGTGACATATGTATAAGTATAACTACTATGTCATATGAAGACTCTGTCAAATTAGTTTGCTTACAATAACTCTTCTTTCTAAAGTGTCTGTGACTTTTTTATTCCTACCTATGCCATAGAATTCCTATATTTTACACATGGTTCATAAAACTATTATCTAATTTTAGGCTTTTTAATACTTCTAAAATATTAACTTGATCTAGGTTTGATTCATATTCTTGTTGACTGATGATAAGAATGTTTCTATTTTCTCATTGACCATTTAAATATCTTTTTTGAAGCATCTGTGCAGATCTTTTATTTATGTTGTCTATTAATTATTAAATTGGAAGTATCCCTTATGTATTCTAAATAGGATCTTTTAATGAATATATTACTTATTTTCTACCATTGTTTAATTCCTTCTTTTTCATTGTGTTGATAGTAAAGTTAGAATTGTAAAAGTTTTTTAACTGTATTTTTTTCATCTTTTCTTTTTTGGTACTGGGGACTGAACCCAGGACTTTGTACTGTATTTTTTTCATCTTTTTTTTTTGGTACTGGGGACTGAACCCAGGACTTTGTACTTGCTAGGCTAAAGCTTTGCAACTGAGTTATGTCCCAGCCCTGTAAAAGTTTTCAAATTTGTTATAGTTTGATCATTCTGCTTTTCATTCTGAGATGAACCACTTTTACCTCTGATAGTTGACTTCTCTTTCAATAAACTATTCTTTACTTCAAAAATTATTGTAGTCTAATTTGTCTGTTTTATCCTTCGTTGCTGATATTTTTGCATTACGGGAGGGTTTTTCCAAATGCTTAATAGTAAGATCTCTTTTTGTCAACAAGAGAAAATTAGGAGTTAGTTCCATATGTTTTTGTTATAAGTTCCAGGGAAGAAAAAGGCTTCAGGAATCTCCTAGTGCACAAAACAAGTAAATACCAAGTAACTATCACTAAATGAAGTTTAATAGAAGTAAGGAAAAGCCTCAGCATTCTAGGCTTAATTTTTTTCTTCCAGTGTCTTTAGAAGCCACTGTTAAATTTTGAATTACATTTGAGAAACCTGTTATTCTCTACTCAAGAACACATTACATGGTGTTTCATCTCTATCACAAACCAATGCCAATTATTTGAAGCATCTGCACTTGAGATTTATTAATAGCCATGGTGAGAGAGAAAGAGAGACAGTTAATTATCAATTGGTATTTAGGTGTTAAAAGATAAAGGGGGAATTTGAGGAGATGGGTGGTTTGAGGGAGTTAAGTATAGGTTTCTCGCTATTGTAATATCTTGAAATATTACATTCTCAAAGATTCTGGAATTGTGGATGTTATTCCATTAGAAATAATTTTGGCAACTTTAGAAGCTGAGAAGTTGGTTCAGACATAACCTTTTTCATTAGAGCATTTAGGATCTCCTTTCAGATTCCAGATATAGAGGTAGAAGTTCTTTAGCACAACTGCTTTTGAGCTCAAATTTAAAAGCACCATTTTTTTTAGCAGAAAGATTTGAATTAATATTTCACATAACTCCTGATCAGCAGTCAGATGCTTTATTTTGTT